AAAATTGTGAAATAACTGATCAAAAATTCAATGCTAAAATTATGATTACATACTATGAATAAAAGAACGTATCTGTATGAATCTATAAAAAACACATTTAAGAGAGTATAACCTTTTATTTCATAACAAGTTACTGAGTTTATTTTGTACTTATAATCATGAAAGTACAGAACACTTTGAACATTTGAAATAGATACCTTTGTCACATTCACAAAATGCTCCTAGAACGATGAGGCAGAAGTAGACAACATAGCCATTGCAATCACAAGCCATAAAATTTTATTGTATGAAGCCTCTATATACACTTAATGAACACAAACAGCCGTTGTTACAGTGATTTATTAAGACCAGAAATATATCCATTTAGGTGAACCATGTCTTAAAAGTCTGTTAATTAGCCCTTTCTTCTCAACTGCATTGCAGGTTCTTCTTAGCCATCCACAGACTCAAAGGTCCAATATACATTTCATTGACCTAAAAATTTATTTATTTTGAGACAAATATTTCAAGAATTGTTTGAGAGTCAGAAATCAAATCCTGGATTTGTCTGGTTCCACAGCAGCCTATTTCTATTCACAGTGCTGTTTCTTTCCTCTCTTTGACTAAATACACCCCTATCCCCTCAGTTAGAAAGAAAAAAAAAGTTATTTTAAGAGAAAGCCCTTTAATAAGTAACATTATTTAAAAAATAATAACCTGGACAGAACTGCCTTATGATTTTTTATTTTAGGATATTATTTTTTTCTTTATCTCTAATGTGGGAAAATTAAACATCAATAGAAAAAAATAAGCATTTGATTAACAACGTTCACAGTAACAGCAAAGATTGTAATACATCCAGAATTTTCTTGCTGTGGTCTAGTTTCTAGTACACACAAATGTGTACAATACAGGACCGACTCTCCCCTCAGAAACTCCATGTCACTCAGTAAATGTTCTCTATTAATCACAGCTTCATGTATGTCACTTATACTTTCTTATTCAGGGGTTATCTTCCTCCTTCTCAATTGAACTTCTATCACCAGAGTACTGACCTTCATCCTCTCTTACCGCATATGGAGCTTCCTACCTGGCTTTTCTGACTCCAAACATCACACACTGATAAGATGAAATTTCTGCAGTATCACTAATGGCTCTTTTGTACTCAGGCATCTTTGTGAACTCTTCAAATGTATGGTATTACCCAACCTCCTGAGGATCATATTCTTGCCTCTCTACCATAGGCCTCTTCCTATCATCTTTGATCATCTCCATATAAGTCTTAACCTCCAATAAATCTTAACCTTAAATATTTAAAAATTTTTATTTAAGCCCATGCTTCTGTTTCTTTATCCAAGCTGTTTACTCAATGGAAGGTATGAGTTCTGTTAATTTCACCTATTGACATATTGAATCTCAAGCTCCCGTCTCTAAACACATATCCTCCAAGAAACGTTCCCCAAGTTCTCTTCCTTTAATTGTATAATCATCTGATTACATGTTCCTTGAGAGTTCATCTTTATGTATTCCCTACTGTACCTATGTATCTTATACATAAAAAGTGCATAATATTTGAGTTAGGTTATGTCACTTTCAATATGCAAACACAAAAGCGACTGAACTGACCTTACATTTCTAGAGCAATGTGGTCAATAGTGTTGGGAAACTCCATTTGGAAAGATATTTTGCTTTTTTTTTGTATTCTTTTGTTTTTGTGGAGACTTAGTAAGGGTTTCTGTGATGTTACAGTGGCTTCTCAAGGGCCTCCTAGCAGTGAAAAACAGTGATGATCAATAGAGATATTATACAATAATTCTGGACTTTGTGTTGTATGACATTGAGGAGTGACAAAAATTTGATGATGTAAAGAAAAATAGCTTGGTGAAAAATTATTCTCAAAATCTTTTGGGTGAGAGAAATGCTAAATCATTAAACATCTATTGTATCACTTCAATTCTAACACTATAATCCATGAAATAATTGCAAGTATGGTATCTTGCTACAGGTAATTTAGCAAGAGTCAAAATAGTCACTGCTATAAAACTTCAATAATTTTATATGTATTTATTCATTTGTTACGTGATTATTAAATCTCCTATGTAATCAACATACAAGATGTATCTTGTTGTAACATATTGACTTGGAATGTAATTTCACATTTTACAATTATGGGCTCTTTGATATGAAAGTACTCTCAACCATTTTTTAAATGCTAAATCATTGGCAAGCATGCTGCCCTCAGTTTTGGCCTTGCTCTTAAGCAAATACATAGCATATTTTATGAGTACATATTGATGTCAGAATATGGGAACACATTAAAGAAAAAAAGAAAAGCTGGTGATTGTCCATTTATTTACACAAATTTACTTTGCTTTAAATTAGAGTTTATCCATTTTAAAAACTCCTCTATAAAATATGTCTTTAACTTAAAATAAATCCAATAAATTGTGGAATTCCTGTTCAAAATAAAACTTTGTATTTAGACGAATTTACTAAGGAATTTGTCCCTTTCTCTAGTAAATTCCCAGATAATCTTAAGTGACTTTTGTTTGTTCTTTTCAGAAACTATTTGGTATTTTAGGAATTAATTTCAAGTGAGTCTAAGTTTATGTTACCATGCAATTGTAAATCCATTAGAATAAAGGTGTACCAGTCACAATATTCTTTCTCAGAATGTCTAGATCTGGTCACTTATTTAGAAGGTGGTCTATGTGAATTAACTTTTCCCCAAATAATTCTAGATCCTTCTGCTCATTATTCTTCTCATCCTCTGTACCCATTTTTTAAGTTAGTGTTAAAAACATTTAAAGTAGCTAGAAAACACAAATTCCAGAATCCAATAAATTAAGACATAACTCACAGGAGAAAGAGGAGGGTTTTTAAACAATTATTTCTCAAATGGCAAAACATTATAAAGAGAAAAGAATAGGAATTCCACTGCAGTCCCTTGGAAAATAAGCTCTACTCAATTTCTTGCAAAAGGAGTTGAACTGCACTTTTGCCCTTTATTCTCACTTTTAGAAATAATATATGCATACCTCTGTTTCTGAAGTATGTGTTTACATAAAATTGCACAAAGTACCACTGGCCTTGAAAAACAAAGTGGTTGTTTTGATGGTATGTACAATGAATGGATATAGAAAAACATCTTTTATTATTTTTACCAATTTTATTTCCACTTGTAAATATTGCCAACATTCAAAGCCAGGTTAATGGAACACCAATGAGAAAATCAAAGCTACTTATACTAAGCATGTTTAAGTATTTTAAAATATAATCATGCTCAGACAGACTTGAAAAAATCCCAGAATTAACTTTGCCACCATGATAATGAGCAAGTTGCAACCAAAAACTGCATTCCCTTTGAGAATGCATTATGGAAATGGCTATCATACATTTGAATGAAGAGTTTTATTCTTCATGGGTACTTTTTTATTTTACTCTAAATTAATGTTCACCTGAAGAATATCTATAAATTCTGGATGTTATAAAAATGAATGCATGAATAACTCGTAAATGGATATATTACATGGCCAAAGTTTAATTTGGCTCTCCATTCAAAACAAGCAGTGTCGGTGGATAATTGGGCATTATTGTTCAATTTATGCTTTTTTCCCCCAGAAGTTTATAAGCATAGTAAAAATTCAGACATATCTGGGGAGCACACAATGACATACGTTTAGATTTGTAAAAACTATACTCTAAAAACATAAGTATAACATGACTGACCCTCACTCATGTATTCATTAACCATGTGAAGGAGTTATTGTATTAAAAACTAGAATGTCAAATGTACAGGTGGTAGCTTCATCCACTTAACAAGATAGGCCTTTATCAGAAACTTCATCCTGATAGTTGCTCTTGGCAATGGAAACCATTCTTAACTTTTATCTCCAAGATCACTCTGGAGATTTTCTAGAAAATTAGGTGATAGTGAATGAATACAGGTTTTTTTTATAAACAATTGATATGCCAAACTAGTTACAAGAAAATAAAGATTAAAGCCTAAAGTTAACTCCCTCTTAACAAAAGACATGTTTTGGAAGCTATTAACCAACAGGCTTTACATTAGAGTGAAACTTTCTCTGCTCCTGTGTCTAGTAATTTAGAGCCCCCCATACTCATGCTCATGAGAGGTGCCTCTAACAGTACTCCACCTTTAACCTGACTTTTGGGCCTGCTACCATCTCCTAGAAAAGAGAATATTATAAAGATTTATAACAAAGTTGTAAAACTGACAGGGTCCAAATTTAGGAGATGGAAAAGGCGGTATATGACAAATTCCTAAAACGGTGTTTCCAGAACTTTTCTAGTCTAAAAAATGTTAATAGTTCATATTTAAGACCATGCCCTCAGTATGAACTGTTACTCAATTTGCTAGGTAATAATTCTTTAACCACAAAGCACAGTTCCTCAGTGTTTTTGTTAATTTAGGGAATGTAACACTTGCAGAGCATACAGAAAAAAATCAATTCTTTCTCCATTTAATTCCAGTCTTGGGAGAGCTAAATATTTCAGTGTTAACTCCTTTTACTACATAAATGCTAAGAAGTAGAGCATAATATGGTTAGATGTAACAATCTTATATTTTTTACTTTGTATTTTAAAAAGATGACTTTGGTGGTATCCATCCTAGTTTGTAAATCATCAAAATATTATATATAATCTTATTAACGAATGCCACCTCAATAAATTAAAGTTAAAAAAAATAAATGTAACAAGAGTTCTACTTAATACTGTCAGGAAATAGACTTCACTAAAACAGATAAAAAATTGGCATTTTAATTATGTAAAATTGGCATGTTATTATTTAATTAATAAAAGATTTATAAATAAGTTAATTTCTTCCTTGGAGTTAAACATCTTGAAAATAAATCCCAGGAAATCATGGCTTTATGTTTTTAAAATCCTCTATTCCAAATAGGGCATACAAATAAAAAGAAAGAAAAAAACAATTAACAATATTTTCCAGGTGAAAAATTACTCCATAAATATTAGGCATTAGAATAGGCTCACTCATATATAGATCGTATTTAAATAAATCATGTATTAAAAGTATTATGTCTTTAAAATATGAATCCAGGAACATAGTCCAAAATCCTAATGTGATTTAAGTAAAATAAATAAAATTTAAGTAAAAATATATGAGTATTTTAATAGATTGCATTTTACAAGTAATCTGTGTTACCTAAATTTAAGTAACTTAATATGCAAATTGCTACTTTACCGACCTATGAAAGTCTTAAAATGATTACAATAATATTCACATTTTGGTCATTGGTTTCTCTGAATTTTACATTTAAACTTCATGTTACTGAAGTACAATAGATTATATTGGATTTAGTCAAATCTCTTATGCTTTTTCTTAGCAAGTAGAACTTATAAGTAAAGATAGGCAACCCAATAAACCAGATTGAACAGCGCAAAGGCTGTTGGGAAAAATATTCGCGAATAAGAGTCGATCTTGGCAATGCGGATGTGAATCCTTCCCTTCCTCCAGGACCCTGTCCTGCAGTCCTCAAAGCAGCAGAAGAAGCTGGCACAGTCTTTGCCCTCCAGACACTGGTACCCGTGATCGTCTTCTCCTTGTGGCAGCGAAATGCTATTCATTGGAATCAGAGTGGATCCAAGGTGGAGTCCAGGAGATATCTGTGTAACATAATAAGTGAGAAAGAGAACAGCATTATAAAAAAGATCAATTTGTCCCCACAAGGCGAATTCTAAGAGAATGCAGTGAAAATAATCTTGCTTTGAAAAAATCAAAGAGGGCCCATGGACACAGGCAATAGGGTGGTGAAGACCTGCAGGGGGTGGGTAGGGGTTCCTTGGAGGGGGGTAAAGGAAGGGAGGGAAATGGGAGAGATCTGTAATACTGTCAACAATAAAAAATAGATATATTATTAAAAAATAAAAAGAAAAAAGTATTCAATTTTGGTGTGTTTTTATATTATTTACTTTGTAACACACAACTTAATATTATTTTACATCTCGAAGATTTCACATAAAAAACTCTCAGAGATGAAATATATGCTATATCTTCAGAAAGATGATCCACTAAAATATTAACCATAACTGTATTCTAAAACAAACTATATTTCTATGATATTTTACTCTGAAACATTTACAATGCCATAAATGTCTACTTGCTATTATATTATATTATGCAAGTTATTTATTTTAGTAATATTGAGAAAAATAGTAAAGGTGACATTTTGATAAACAAGTTTTGAGAAACTGTGAGTGAATTAAAAAATGATGTAATGGGGGTTATCGTAGTGGATAAGCTCAAGGCATCATACTTTGGGGAAAGAATGGGCAGGAGTTAAAAACTCAAGAGTTCAAACTTTGTCTAATTTTACCAATGTAGCTATCCACAAAGCTAAATTTATATTAGCACCTAATTTTTTATAGCTGTGATGAGTATATTTCATAACTTATGTAAAATGATCAGGCTTCATCTTGCCCATCTTACTATTATTATCAGGATTATTTGGGATACATGTCAAATTAATTTTTATGACAACAGGTTCTGAATAATAATTAAATAAGAAAATATTTTTAAATATAAAAATTAAGCAATCCAGGATACTATGATACATTAAAGCAATCACTTTGGAGTCAGACTGGCTTGGGCAGAAATCCCAGTTCTGCCAGTAGAGTTGTGTGTGACCTTGAACAGGAAATGTGACTGTTCTTATGCCTCTGTGCCTTCTGCTGTACAAGTTACAATGACAACACATGGATCTATTTGGTGATCAGATGAGATAATGTACACAAAGCACCAAGCAAACCATTTGAAACATAGCAAGCATTCAGCTGCCAATAGGCAATGCTTATTATTGGTTTTGTTACTGCTCGTATTGATTCCTGAACAGCATCTATATAAAAGCCTAAGCAACCATTACAACAGAATGACCGGAAGGACCAGGATGACCGGTCCTATGATGTGCACTGACCACCAGGGGTCAGATGCTCAATGCAAGAGCTGCCCCTGACCCGCAGGCCCTGGTCGCCAGATGGGGCCTGTGGCCAACCTTCTAGTCCCTCCCCCCAGCCAGGAGGCCCCTATCACCCAATTGGGGCCAGGCACCAGGCTGGGACAGGGAACTGGGGGTGGGTGTTGGTGGACATGGCCCCTTTCCCAGGGGGCTGAGGGCCGGCTCCCTTCTTGGGGCCGGTGGCCAACCTCCTGGATCCCTCCCTACATCCTTCAGGCCCTGATCACCCAATCGGGGCCGGCCCTGGGCTGGGATGGGGAACTGGGGATGGGTGGCAGCAACCAACCTCCCGCGGCACCTGGGTGGGAGGTTTTGACCTCTCACTGGCTACCTGGGGGCGGGAGTGATGGGGACGGAAGTGCAGTGAGAATGCAGGGTGTCTGCCAAACTCACTCTCACTCCCCCTGCCACCCTCCCCTGGGTCACCAGGGCTCGCCCACCAGGGAAGCCCCCGCGCTCAGATGCGGGGTGCCACTAGGAGCCCACCCCACACCCACGTGGCCTCTTTCAGGTGAGCTGGGCTGCAGCCACTGGGACCACAGGGACCAGTTGGGGTCCCCATGGGTTCGTGCAGGAGCTGGTCTGCGAGGCCAGCCGGGAGAGAGTGCGCTGATCTCCTGGCTTCCCTGCAGCATCGCTGGGTGGCCTAGAGGCCCATGCTGCGCCCTGGCCCGCGGCATTGGTCGCGCTCACCGCATCTCCACGTGGGGACTCAGGCACCCTGACTCAGGCAGAGTGGGGCATGTGGGGGCCCAGGGGTCCAGCTGCTGCTCAGGGACCAGAGGTCAGCTGAGACCTGCCCTTCCATGCCAGATACTCGCACTTCAATTACTGGCCAGGCCTAGGACCGCACCCGTGCACAAATTTCATGCACTGGGCCTCTAGTATATCATAATTGGCTATAAAGTATGTTAAAACAACCAACAATAAAAACCCAGATCTTATAAAAAAAAAGGTTATTGGAAAAAACATTAATAACTCCTTGAATATAATGGCAAGTAAAATATGAATGGAGATTGCAGTTTTAGTAACACTTATTCTTCAAAACTTCTGCATATTTAGGATTTATCTTAAGATGAGATTTTACAGCTTATTATAATCAGTGGTTTTATTGTCTAAACAGCAAGTACAATGCTGACATTATTAAAATTGTTTTAACCTTATCTAAATTCTTCTAAAGAAAATGTTCATATATTTTTAGTCTTAAATTTAAAATAAATATATCACAAATCCATGACAAATAAATATTGTATGGGAAGATTTTAAAAGTGAAAAACAAAACCTTTTAACTTCTTAAAATGTGGATTTACATTTAAATCCATTTTATATCTAAAGAGGAATATAGACTCCAAACCACTAAATTATAAAAATTCAGTGTATGCAAACAGAAGCAAATAATCACATTTTGTGATATTTTAAAAAGATAAATGCATCAGACAAGTCATAATATCCATATTAAAAACAAAATGTGCAGCCTGAAGATAAGGAGAAATGCCCTAAACACAAATAAATTCATGACTCCACCAGCTTAGATGTATCATAAAAAGCAGAGACAGCGTTTATTAAATGTTAATGAAAGATCTTTTCAGGTTGACACTTGGGGATACTTTAAGAGACTCCTAAATTTTAGTGGAGCACTAAAATGATGTAAAAAACGGAAACATTTGTATTCATTTCCCTGTCACTTAAGACTTAAATAGTTCAAATGCTCATCAGAGTGAAAAGTGATTAAAATACAAGTTTGTTATCTGGGAATTTCAAGGGTATATGGCATAAAACACATTTCATATATCACTCAGAACTGCCATAAATGGAAATATAGTGTGTTTGTCAGAAAATATCGATTGTATATGAAAGGGATGATTAAACACCCGTGCACAAAGAGAGAAAAATTGCAAGTGAGTCACTTAAAAAATGGATTATTCTCTAGTGGTCAAAGTCATGGAAACCTCCTATGACAGTGACACCTTTATTGACAATTTTCTAGTTTCCTGTCCCCCCAAAACACCAAAAATTCAGAAATTGAAAGAAACTGCACTTTAATGATTGATTAATGTGAATAGAAATAGACATTATACGTGCTGAAAAAATAGCCTAAGAGCTGATGCAATATCAATAAAATGAATATATTGATTGGCAGATCTATCACCCAGAAACCACTGAAATATTAATCAGAAGAATACAAACATTCCAAACCTTATTTATCTGAAGTGCAACTATATTACCCAGCTTGTAACTCTTCAAGTAAATATCCTCTGCCCCCCTCTCCAAATAGCAAGGATTGAAAAAAATAAATCAGTTTAAGTGATAAAAAAAGAAATAACAAAATTAAATAAAATTTAATCTTACTTTGAATGATAAAGTTTTGAGAACATACCTTTTTTTGTTATTTCAAAAGTCACTAAGAATATAGCTGAATGTAACATTTTGAAAAATGGATTACATTCTTCTTATTACATATGCATATTATCTGGTTGTATATTAAATACTATATTACATATATTAGTAACTTGGTTAAATATACAAAGTATATTTTAAGTACCAAGACATACTTCTATCAATTAAATATTATTAAATAGTAAATAAAACATTTATGTACAAATTATATATGTGTGCATTTACATGATATAATTATTACATCATATGTTAACATCATTAATTATATGTTATCAAATATTAGTAATATGAATAGAATACATTATTAGGTCATGTTATTGATATTATATAATAGTGACTAATATTACTATTATTAAATTTTTTATTTAAAAAGTTGTATTTGAAAATGCTAACCTAAGCATATGTTTTCTCCTCTCACAAAACCAGTCAGAATTTCAAAACTTACAAAATGCACTTCAGTGTTAAAAACACATAAAGGTGAGTCTTGGTGATGCTGAGCTGCCCATCAGCATGTCAGAATTTGTGATGAGTTTATAAAAGGCAAAGAACAGATGGAAACAGGCCAATGGATAAAGCTGACTCAAGGAAGCCACATTTCAGAAAAGGCTCAGGAAATGGGAACAGGATGTGGGATTTGTTCTGTCCATCAAAGTTTCAGAGTGTGGGAGTTGTTTTGCCCATCAACACTGACTTTAGGTAGGAAGAATGGAAATGATATACAGGACCACAATATGGCCTTAAATGGTTTACATGTCCATCCCCAGAAGAGCTGCATATAGCCTCATCTCAGCACTACACACTTGTTAAGTCAGTGTTTCACTGTGTTGGAGCATGAAATCAAGATATTTCAATAAAGCATATCCTTTAAAATATGTTTTACTTATGCACATCATAGGAAATAGTCTGCATCTGAAAAAGTATTTGAAACCAGTCACTTAACTGCTAATTCCCTTGGAGTATCTTTGTTTACTTTTGACTTTTACATTGGATTGTTATTTGTATTGCACTTTGTTATCTGGCATTTACATGCCTACTGTACTTTTCTACACCTAGATTTGAAGATCCTGGAAGCAGAAAACACATTCTATCATTTTTCTCTCCAAAGTGTCTTGTTCATGGCTGGTGAAATAAATCTCTATTATTTTACATTTTAATCAAATTGAGAGATTATTAATAAGTTCTGTCCTCTAATGGGTATACCAGGCCACTGGTGTGAGTATAAGATAGTTTCCTGAGATTTTTAATCATCTATAGGTTGAGTATTCTAATTTCAAAATTAACTACTCTTCAGTTGGTAATGATTAGTTTACTACTATTGTATTAATGTGACCTTTACCTGATTCATAATGTTAATTACATGTTCCAACATAGTTAACTTTTCAGTTTTTGGGTTTTGTTTTGTTTTGGAAAATATATGTTGACTCAAACATACAAAAATCATATTTTTAATGAGTAGAAATAAAAACATAATGACATCTATTGGATGGGAACATGGACCAAATAAAACTGTCATTGACAATCACAATGAAAATTAAAGAAGAAAGGAAAAGAATGTTGAAAAGAGAAAAGAAGAACTTAAGGAAGAAAGGATAGAGGAAGGAAGGAAGGAAGGAAGGAAGGAAGGAAGGAAGGAAGGAAGGAAGGAAGGAAGGAAGGAAGGGAGGGAGGGAGGGAGACTATATCATATGGCTAGTAAAGTAGAAAGCATCCTAATTGATTTATGTTTTTCTAAGAGGGTTCACTGAAGCCAAAAAATCTATTGTGTTAAAATATCAGCTGTTTCTAATGAAAATAAATTGGGGTATTCTGGGATCCTCAGTTAAGTTGTCATAGAGACATCAACAAAGGGGATTTTTGTTTTTGCTCAATAACAGACTTATTGACCATTCACTGACTCTAGTCAAAGTTTTTGGTCCTGGTCTGACTATTGTCATAGTAATTTAAGGTTAAAAAAAGGAAAAATACTGTATTTTAAACTACTCAGAATTTTGAGCTTATAAAAAAAATGTAGGGAGATGGAAGGAAGGTGAAAGAAGGAGGGAGGAGAGAGGAAGACAAGGGGAGAAGGGGAGAGAAAAAGAAAGGAGAGAGAGAGAGAGAGAGAGAGAGAGAGAGAGAGAGAGAGAGAGAGGACTTCTCTGTCTAGGTTGCGCATTTGATTACTGTGGCTGAAACAGAAGAAAATCAGATACACAAAGCTCTTAGATAGGACATTTGAGAAAATAGCAAGCAGAGGTGTCTATTCTTAATAAAAGTGTACTCATATTGATTTACCCAGTTAGCAAGAATATATGACTGAACCAGGCAGGGAGTCAGATTTGATTACTGATCTCAGTTTTTCACTCAAAGTGACATTTACTATTGAAAGGGCTCATGAATCACAGAAAGTAAAGACTATAGAACTTTCTTATGGATAGCTCTAAAGAAAATAATTCCTGTACCCAGGTAGTCAATTATAATAGGTCAAATTTAACTTTTATCTGGCTTTGAAATATAGTGATTCAAAGGGCTCATTTATTTTTTAATGTGCTATATCTATTTTTTTCTTTATTGATTAAGGTATTACATATGTGTCCTCATTTAATTTTTATTCCTTATTTTTTCACCTTTAGTATTTTTATTCCTGGGCCTTATGCTAAATTTTGAATACTCAGCATGTATATTTTATATCAAATAACTATTCTAAAGCAGTGCTTAGAACAAGGGTGACTTTAATAAATATTTGGTGAATGAATGATTAAGTAAACATCATAATAGTACAGTTTGCACTCCAGTTTGCAGCTTCCTGAGTAAATGTGACATGCAATGTGATTGGAAGTGCATGATGTAGAATCAAAGTGATTAGCAGCAGCCACTTACTGGTTGAGTGTCCTTAGATGCTATAAAAATAGTACCTACATGGTATTCTTAGAATTAGATGAGAACGCATGTGATATTGTACACTGACTGACATTCATTCCCAATTTCCAAAAGTAAAATTTCAAGGTAGTACCTGAACATAGCTATGGATGAATATATGATGAAATGGAAAATCCAGAAGAGGATGATTGGCTTTGATTCAAAGAAAATCGTAGAAAACCTGCATTTTTCCTTACCTAAAATTTAGCAGGTCAATATTAAAGTTGACATCATTGTCCTTTGATAGTTTGCCCACTTACGGGTTATAATATGTGCTATGCATAAGTTAAAATAATGTTAACTTGAGACACTCGTAGGCTAATTCTACAATGTAAGTTCTCAAATGTGTACTGCCAGTTAATGCACTCTGCTTTCTTGGAATATTGTGGAAATCTGAAAACAAATTCACAAAGATTTGTGCCTTAGAGTATTACATGAAAAATAAAATTTAATTTATAAGTATGGCAAAGCTTTATAAAGAAACTAATGAAAAAGGGGGAGGGAGAAAAATCATCGAATCCTAGAACTTACAAGTTTAGGAGACAATGTGGAAAACTCTATGCCTCACTGTATAAACACTATGGGAGGCTTATAGTGGCTCTTTGATACAGTTGTCATTTGGGTATTTTGGAACAAATCCACATTGAAATCATTCTCTTCAGTCAGCAGCGACGTGCCTTTTTAAATTAATATTGGAGAAACGGATGTTTCCTTCCTGAGTTCTCTGAGAAAAGGTAATAAGGGTTACAAACTTGAGCTCCGGCACTAAGAAAGTCCTGGGTGTGAGTCATGGATCCTTCACTTCCTGCGGCTGTCCTTGTGCAAATGACTGAACTTGTACTCAGATGAGCATAATTAAATCACACATGTAAAATACTTAGAGGAACACCTGATGTGATCAGTGTTAGATATTACTTCAAGGTTTTAAAGTGGCCATTATAACAAGAAATTATAGTCAATCACCCAACACTTGAGTATCTTAGAATCAATTATATCAACTTGATGTGACATAAGTTAGGATAGATACATGATAGGGAAGAGGGAGTAGTAGAGTATAAATATGCAGAAATCCCCCCAAAAAACAACAAAAAAATCCTGTATGGCTATGCCTTTCAAACACAGCTGAATAGCAATGTTAAAGAGGAATCTTTGTCTCTACAAGGTAAGTTAATTTTGTGGGCCACCTGTTTTTCAAATTCTAAACACAAACGTAGGATCTCTTTAAAGAATGATCTTAAACACTTTTTTTAGGTATAAGAACCTAGCACTTGGAAAAATTCACAGCACATGAAAGCAGTCTTTACAAAGGTGATCCAAGAGTCTCTTCTAAGAGGAAATACACTAGTAAATGCACTCTCCTTGGTGGGCAATGTGAGGTGCTCCAGTTTCATTTTATTTTTGTTTATATTTTGTCAGGGTTCCTCAAGCACCATATTTGTCTGAGTAAGTATAACATGAGTATTTAAACAGTATCTCTAATATTAAATTGCCACTTTAAAAAAAGTAAAGATTTTTAACGTACCGAGGCCTTGTGTTTTATCTTTCTGTCTCTAGCAGCCTTTGCTCGTTCGTTGCTGGTAAAATAATGCAAGGTGCCATATTCCATCAAGGCTGCAAAAACGAAAATGAAACACACAGAAACAAAGAGATCCATCGCAGTCACGTAGGAAACCTTAGGCAAGGACTTCCTGGCTATGGTACTCAGAGTGGTCATGGTCAAAACTGTGGTAATGCCTGCGGAGGGAGGGGAACAAATAGAAGATGAAAAATAACCTCACAGACTGTTTTCATTCTTTCTTCTGATTTGGCAATATTGTGAGCAGCAATAAACAATGCACACAAAAGGGTATGATTACTGTGATTTACAGGGGAAAAAAATACTGGTAACCATAGCTACATTATGTTCAATGTGTTCTGTCCGTGTTTTCGTCATCTAAATTCTGTGGACTGCAAGGACGTGAGTCCCTGGACCCATCCTTCCCTTGCTCTATAGTAACAGACTATTCAATGTTTAACTGTCACAAGGCTGCCTGTACACCTACCTTTACCCCACCCTGCAAAAAGGTATTTATTTTGTGTGTTCTTAAAGGGGATACTTAGAATATAGACTTTAAATCTTTCTTCCTTTCTAACATCAGCATTAGAAAGCTATAACTTCTGCCAGGCTGGTATGGCTAAATGGATTGAGCGTTGTCCTGTGGACCAAAAGGCCCCGGATTTGATTCCCAGGTCAGGGCACATGCCTGAGTTATGGGCTCGATCCCCAGGAGGGAGCATGCATAAAGCAGCTGATCTATGTGTCTCTCTCATCATTGATTTTATCTCTTTCTCCTTCTCCTTCCCTCTCCCTCTAAAAATAAATAAAAACATATTTAAAGCTATAATTTCCCTTTAAGCAATGCTTTACCTGTGTCTTGCAAATATTTATATAATTTATATATATATATAAATATTTATATATATATATTAAATATCTATTAAATTTATTTTAAAATATTTTCTAATTTCTCTTTTGATCCAAGGGTTATCTAAAAGGTCATGCTTTAATTTCTAAATATATGAGGGCATTATTATACATATTATTTTTAGAGTATATTTTATGATATACTATGGAAAATTTTAGTCTTTTGAATTCTATTGTGTTATTAAGCAGATTCACTAATGTTTCCTCTATGGCTTTAATCCTATAATCTCCTACCACATTTGGAATAAAAACCAAAAAGTCCTTAAAGTCCTTAGAAAAATCTACTAAACTTTATGTAATCTCACCACTGCCCACCTCTCTAATCTCATTTTTTACCACTTGTCAGTCAGCCCCAGCCACAGTTACCTTTCTGAACTCCAAGCATGGCATGGCGAGGAAGGACCACTTCAGAACCGCCTATTCTCCCTGCCTGCACCATCTTTCTACCAGTTATCCCGCAGGCCAGCTGCCGCACTGCCCTAAGTCCCTGCTACCTCCTCAGAGCCTGACTCTACAAGATAAAATAGCAAACATTACGTCTATCAACATCTAGTGCCATTCTCTAGCCATTTTTTTGCTTTGTCTTTATAACCTTTATTACTCATTGACATTTTTCTATGCTTTTTATATTTGTACATTAATTCTATATGCCACAAAAACATAAATGCCATAGACATGAGGAGTTTACAAATATTGTTCACTGGTAATACTAAAGTACCTAGAACACTGCCTCTTTCATGAAAGGCATTTGATACAAGTTTGTAAAAATGCAATGTGGAATAAATGAGCTCAGGAAATTTTCCTTCAAATATAAAAAGCTTTATATTCCAACTACATAGGTCCCACAGTTATAAGATATTCTTCAAGTTAAATCTGACTATCACTTATCTTTAAACTTGATATACTAATATTAAAAATATTAATTCATGCAAAAATTCCACAACTGGCTATTCTCTTTCATGAAACTGGAATATGATTTTTGGCTTCAGACACACCCAATAGTATAATTAATTTATTCAAATCCTTTTTTGGAAAAATACAAGAATAATGTTTTAAAACAAAAATATAATATCTGTTATATTCAAAGTAGCATATAAATAATCTAAAATCATTTCTTTTCCCTTGGCATGAAATGTAATTTGAAATTACAATTATTTTAAATAGAAAACAAATCTCAGGTATGAGTGCATTTTATCCACTAGCTATGTCTACACTTCTGCTTAGACTCCCAAAGGAAATGCATTTCCAAGCATAGAGCTGGATGCCTCAGGCTTTATCTTGCTACTTTTATGTGATTTGCATTTTACTGTATTTATGAGTGAAGTTATTCACCAGCTATCATAGAAACAAAATGAAAATCTCTTTGCTGTTGAAAAAAGCAAAAGCTCTAACTTTCTTTGTTTTGTAAGACACAATTTTCAGTAATGTGATTCACTTCCTGCACTATTGTATTCTTGGGAATTGATCAATGAGTTGTCTTTGTATATTAATGCATGAATTTAAGTTGTCATCTATAATAATGAAAGCATAATATGCTAATTAGACCAGACGTCCTTCCGGATGACCTTCCGGATGAAGCCAGGGCTGCTAGGGACGCCCGGGTCCTGGGTGCCTGCTGGCAGCCAGAGAGAAGCCCGGACCCCTGGTACCAGAGGGAAGCCAGTGCCGGTAGCTGGGGGAAGGAAGGCTTACTCTTTCAAGAATTTTGTGTATCGGGCCTTTAGTTTTTTAAACAAATGTATAGTAATTAGAAAATTTTTTTTATATGATGTTGATTATTGTCATGGGTTGCTAAAGAATGAAAACAAAAGTTTATTATATCAAGTGTGAATTACAAATTACCTTTTAAATCAGTGTTATGTTACAGGAAACTCTCAGAAGTATTCACAGACTATTTCCACAGTCTATAGATTATTAAAGCCTATAAGATAATTGTTTCTGCCTGGCCAGTGTTGCCAAGTGGCTAGAGCACTGGCCTGGACACCAGAGGGTCGCAGTTTCATTCCTGTCATGGGCACATGCCTGGGTTGCAGGTTCCTTCCCTGGTCCTGGTCAGGGCACATGTGGTACACATCCATAGTTCTCTCTCTCTCTCCCCCAGCCTCCCTCCCCCTCTCTCTAAAAATCAATGGAAAAAATACCCTTGGGTGAGGAGTAATAACAACAACAAAAAGATTCTTGTTCCTTTCAGCAACCTGCCCTTTAGAACAGTTGACTATTCATTAGCACTATTGTAAAAGTAAGGCACTTCAAAGCCTTCTTAACACACACTAGTCAATAAATGTTGGCTATTAGTGATCCAGCTAAAAAAAGATGAAAAGTGATTGAAATTGTTGACTAAATTAAATTCAGTGATTCTGTATGATTTTTATGTGTTAATTCTTACTGTGTATGCATGCTTTCCTTGGCCTCTAATAGTGGAAACAATAAAAATATTTTCTGAAGTTTTAAGTTCTTTGCATTTCTATTTCATTTTGCTTTTCATGTATGCATTTCAACACTATATTGCAATAGAGTAACTTAATTTTTGCTTGATTGTAGTGTAGAGGAATATTCTAATATATTCAACAATAAAGTTTATCACATTAACATATTTGTAAAAGTCCCATGACACTATAGCATAATATTATATGTCATACCCAGTGAGGTTCTTGCAGGTACTGCATCTTTATTGATCCAAAAAGACACCCAAGAAAGAACAACTGTCAGAATACATGGGATGTAGGTCTGAATAGTGAAATATCCCATTCGTCTGCTCAGGTCAAAAAAAATTGTCATGATAACATAATCCCCTGAAAGAAAAAAAAGGTTTTATTTTGGTTATAAAATAAATACAAAAGTATAGATTCCAACCCATAGATTGAAATACAAATGCTATTTCACTAATTTTGTGTTTCTTTCTTACCAGAGATTGTGTGATAAATTTCGGTTGAGTTCCGCAACCCTACAAATGCAAACTGATATAATCTCCAATATTTAGGATCAGCCACTTCTACAGAAGGTTTTTTCCACTTATATTCAATTTCATTTTTAGGGTATCCATCTAGATAATATATTGAAATAAAATATATAAATTAGCAAGATCCAAATCTGTTACAGTTGCCATACCAACATTATCCAGACAAATTTTTTGAAATTCTTCTTCACTCTTCTACTATATGTCAAAAAATTCCCCATAAAATGTATGTGTATATTTTAAAGAATAATGATAATTCATCTGACTCCACATAAATTAGGAAATAGAACCCTGCTAGCATCCAGGAAATCTCATGTGACAACCCCAATATAGCATTTCCTCTCCCAACTAGAGATAAACACTAACCTGCTTTCTCAGATAATTCTTTAATTTTTTGTAGTTGTTATATTTTGGTATGCATTTCTGAAAATAATTTTTATTTTTTTGAACTCTACTTGATTGCTGCTTTACTGAATTATTATTTTATATTTTTCTTCTTTAAAAATATTTATGCAGTGGATTTTTTGTATAATGTTTTGTATCCTGCAACTTTACTGTATTTGTTTATTGTTTCTAATAGTTTTTTGATGGAGTCTTTAGGGTTTTCTATATATAGAATCATATTATCCACAAAAAGTGACAGTTATACTTCTTCCTTATTTGGATGCCTTTTATTTCTTTCTCTTGCCTTATTGCTCTTGTTAGGACTTCCAGGACTATATATATATATATATGACTAATATGCAAAGTATCCCTTTGGGGGTTTGGTCAGGAGACCTGGAGTTTGATAATTCACTATGATGTGCGCTGACCACCAGGGGGCACTGGGGAATAAAGGAAGGCCCCCACTGGCAGCTGGCAGCTGAGAAAGGAAGGCCCTGGCCAGCAGCCAGAAGACCCTGATGGGCCCTGATCACCTGCCAGGCCTACGGATCCTACCTGTGCAAGAATATTGTGCACCGGGCCTCGAGTGTTGAATAAGAGTGGTGAGAATGGACATCCTTGTCTTATTCCTAATCTTAGAGGAAAAACTTTCAGTTTTTCACAATTGACTATGATATTAGGTGAGGGTTTCTCATATATGGCCTTTATTAGGCTGCTGAGCTTATTGTCATTGTCACTTTCGTAAGCATCCCTGTACCTGAGACACTTGTAAAAGTCTCGTACAACTTGGAATTTTATTACATACCACTAAATATCTACTTTGAGGGTGATGCCGGTTAAGGTACTTTTCTTCTATGCCCATTTTATTGAGTGTTTTAATCAGAAATGGATATTGTATCTTATCAGATGCATTTTCTGCATCTATTGATAAGGTCATATGATTTTTTAATCTTTTGTTAACGTGGTGTATTACATTGATTGATTTGCATATGCTGAAACGTCATTGTGCCTCTAGAATGAATTCCACTTGATCGTAACGTATTAATTGTTTAATGTATTGTTGTATTCCATTTGATAGTATTTTATTTAGGATTTTTGCACCAGTATTCATCAGAGATATTGGTCTATAGTTTTCTTTCTTGTGTTATCCTTGGCAATTTTTGGTATCAGCGTTAAGTTGTCTCATAAAATGTTAGGAAGTATTATCTCCATTTTTTTGTTTTTTGAAAAGTTTGAGCAGGATAGGTATCAAATCTTTTTGAATGTTTGGTAGAATTCACTGGTGAAGCCATCTGGTCCTGGACTTTTATATTTTGGGAGGTTTTTGATGGTTGTTTTAATTTCCTCTCTATTGACCAGTCTATTTAGATTTTCCAATTCTTTATGATTCAGTCTAGAAAGATAATATATTTCTAGGAATTTATCCATTTCTCCTAAGTTAATGAATTTGGTGGGATATAGTCTTTCATAATGCTCTAGTATGAACCTTTGTACATCTGTGATGTCTGTAGTAACTTCTATTTCATTTCTAATTTTGTTTATATGAGTTTTTTCTCTTTTTTCCTTAGTGAGTCAGCCAGGGGTTTGTCCATTTTATTAATCTTTTCAAAGAATCAGATCTTTGTTGTATTAATTTTTTTGTGCGTAGTCCTTTTGTTCTCTATTTCTTTAAACTCAGCTCTAATTTTTACTATTTCCTTGCTTAGGTTGATTTTGGGTCATTTTTGTTCTTTGTTTTCTAGTTCTTTAAGATTTAATGTTAGGTTTTTTAGTTGGTATTTTTCTTGTTTCTTGAGATTGGCCTGTAATGACATAAACTTCCCTCTTATTACTGCTTTCGCTACATCCCAGACATTTTGATATGTTGTTCTGTCATTCTCATTAGTCTCTATATATCTGTTGATCTAAGAAATTATTATGTATTTTATCACTTACAGCTTGAAAATTCTAGTGGACAGGAATGTTCATCCATAGGAAAGTTATGAAGCTGAAGATAACATTCTGCATTAATTGTCAATCTATTTAGATGGAAAAAAATATTAAAAATGAGATTTCAAGTATTGCAAATATTTTCTCTAATTGTCAAGCGTATTTTTGGCCTACAATAATGAACTTTGATATACTAGGAAATAATAATGCTATAATCTTTAAGTCTTAAGTGGCAATATTATAACATTCATAAATGAGTTAGATAATTCTAACATTTCCCTCTCTAGCCAACTAAACTACCTCTGTATCCAGTTAGTAGAATGTCTTTTTACAGTTAAAAATTTGTGCTTCAGGGGATTAATACACATACATATGGGCTTGTGCATGTGCACGCACACAAACAATTAGCAGAGTGTACATGGTTAAGTATGATAAGTTTGTCTCTTAATTTATCATGAACATCTTTCCATTATGGGTTATCCTTAAGAAGTAGATACGCTCATGACAATGAATTAGATAAACCTGAATCGTACACATCAGCATTCATTTAATCTTTTCTTAAGGACTTTTCTTTACTACATTATAAAAAAAATCACTATGTTACTCTGAACTTGAGGTTTTTTTTTAAATTCACCATACTAATTTTAATGTATAAAAGGAGCATCATAGTTCTTACTTACTCTGAAACTTTAAAAAGGGGAAATTCATGAGTTGACCAAATATTAGCATGAAAAATAAGTTAGAGCAATGACACTTTTTAAAACAGTACTACCTTAAAGTATATAGGACTCGTCCGTCATTCCAAATTCGAAGCAGACGATTAGGAGTCGTTATCCAATGAGCATCAGATTTTCTTGAATTTCTGAAGAAAGTATCAGGAATCCAAATTTTCCCAACCATATTACTGTTAAGTACAAGCACTTTCATGGTACTATTGAATTTTAAACGACTATCAAACCAGGTTTGGGCAAAAATAATATCAATTGTGTATTCCTGAAAGACAAAAAGAATAATGACATGTAATAGTAAAGCCACTCTTTTACACATTTTCTTTAGATGTTTGAATTTTTATATTTAAAAAGTTTCTATAAGTTAATAGCAATTAAACTTGGTCTTTTGGGACAAAAAAAGTCATAATCCAAATGTTTTTTTAATTGTTTACAAGGGTCATGTAAAAATAATCCAATATTTCTAGTAATCACTGCTGCTTAATGTGGCTTTATTTTTTGGAAATTTTATTCAAGATTTTATAATATGTTGGATATTATCATTAAATACAAAAGCAAATTATCTCGCTGTTAACAATTATATTACTTTTGTGATATTCACATTGTGCTTAAGTCACAGAAAACAATACGAAGTAAAAAATTAAGATGCTAATATTCACCAAATTACCTAAAAGCCCTTACATTATTTTCTGTACAAAAAATTAATTATGATCACTTAGATTACTGTTTTCAATTGTTTTAAAGCAAAGACACATAAACACACACACCACGCTATTCTTGTGTTATCTTCACAATAGTTATCGTTCATGCCTATCCTGGCCTCCTGCTTCTCAGGCTGGATGTATTTTCTTTGGGAGAAATTATACCTGATCCAAACAGCCTTTTCGACTGACACAATGATGAACCATTCCGAGTCTAAGAGTGTAACCTGGGTTAATGACATGGTTTCTGGTTTTAATAGTAAATGAAATAGTAAGAAGGCTCATGCCCATTCTGATGAGCAGATCATCAGTAGATATGGTAGATCTCAGGAAGAGTATTTAATCTACATGATGTGCCAGAATTTTGTTGTTCTTTGGTATGTAGTCAAGCGGCACAAACAGCTTAAAATAACATACATATGTGCCAGGATTATGGCGAGGCGAAGATCCAACATTGGTTGCTAGAGGAAACCTCATGCTACTTGGTGGGGATATTTGGCTGCAGTATTCCAAACTAACAGGGCATTAAAAGTGACACTTGATAATTACCTATCTGAGCGGTGGGGTTTAGCAAGCAGCTGTGAATTTTCCTTAGGAGCAGCTGACAGGATCTTCTTTAGAATACCTGTTTAGAAAAGTGCTAACCACTGTTGAAAGAGCTATGACTTCTGAAGTGTCAAACTCTCCCAAGCAGAGTGTATTGAGGACATGTGAAATTTTTCTATTCAAAATTATCCCCTCAATCTAGGATCAAGGAGAGAAAGATGTCTTCATAATCTATCCTTCCAAATCCATAACAGAGGTTAATAATTGCAAGGTCTTTTAAATTACTAATCCTTAATAAGCGTCTCACTAAGATAAGAAGGTCATTAAAATTTGTGCCATTTTATATGTAATCGAAAATACAATTTTGTTTACTCGTTTGTATTAGTGTAATTTCCAGAAAATGATTCAACTGTTCTTGTACTTCATGTTCCCATTTAGAGGTTATAATAAGCTGCATAATAAATAAGCAAGAGAAACATGAAAAGAAAATTCATTTATCCAGAGCAAGTGCAATAGCTTCTAGGATACACATTTGGAGATAAGGAACAGGGCTTTTAACATGTGAGAGCCAATGAACATTATGAAATTTACTTTGCTTCCTTGAAAGTGAGTTGAGAACACAGCATTAGTAAGTAAAGATGAAGAAGTGAGCCATTTTGATTTCTAACTCCATTAAGTCAAACCATAATTGATGAAAGTTTATGTAGTGTAGTCTTCCCATTACACTGTCAGCTTTCCAATTATGCATGTGTCTCATACTTAACTAGCTAATTCAATATTACTGTCTTTCTAGCAATGAAAGAAAACTTCATATAAAATGCAGACCTGCCTAAGAAATTATTGTAGGTGAATAATTACATTACAAAATTTGGTTGATTGCGATCTGGTCTTCCCACCTGGAAATTAATCTCTCCCTAAACTATCTATTCACATGTCCAGATATTATGAGGGGCCAGATAACGGTTAGCAGTAAATCAAATCTAAGGGCTACAGGCATGTTGAGTTAAAGGTACAGTGTAGTTTGCAGGGAGGAGATGAAGTTTCAGTCTTGAGTCAAATGCAGTCTGGAGAAAGAATCTCTCTTCCTCAAGGGACTTCACTCAGTGCTTACTCTTAAAGCTTTCATCTGATTGGACGGTGTCCTCCTACCTCATAAAGGATAATCTGATTTACCGAAAGTCTAGTGATTTAAATGTTAATCGCATCTAAAAAAAATGCCTTTACAGCAACATGCAGACTGTATTCGTCAAGCCAAGCTTGATATCAGAACCACCAAGTAATACAGGTCCATTCTACCACATTAGCATGTCTACTAATCTATAAAGATAAAATTGTAACTAACCTGGGCCTCTCTATCTTGAAAATAATTCAAAATAGACACCTCCAAAATCTGACTAAGATGTGTCAGAGGTCTCAGAGTTGTGGGTGGAATAACAGTTGTGATATAATGAGTGAAAAGACACATTACTATAAAATATGCATAATATTATGGTATTTAGTAAAGCTATCTACAGAGTTATTAAATTGGAAGTAACAATAATGAATACTGGATAACAACCATCTAGAATATTTTTTTCTTTCACTTAAATTTCTAACTTTCCCATATTAGACATGAATTTCTTCTATAATAAACAGATACACTATTTTTATGAAATTTGTTTTCATAAAAAACAGCATAAGGTCATCATTTGCAACTTAAAATATATATGGGCTCATACACAGCCTTTTTCTTGGCCCTTGACCTTCTGTATTGCTGTATTTTTCATTGTTTAGCCATTCTCCCCACTAGGTTTTAGCTTCTCTGAAGGAAGGAAGCCAATATATTTTAGTGGGAAATAACCACCTGTTACAATATAGGTAGTAAATACATGTAAGGCAAACAAAACCATGATATAAGAGAGAAATATATTTGTTTATATCAAAAACTAATATCATTTTTATATTATTTGAAGATCAGAGGTTAATTTAATTTTCAAATTCTAAGATCTTTAATGCCATATATATGGGTAAATGGATGAGCATACTGAGAAAGAGGCATAGAAATGAAAACAACACTATTCATTTATAATTTCTTATTTGATCTCTCTTAGTGTTGAATCAAAACATACCTATATTTTATATTGTTTTAAAATAAATCGTAAAAAGAACTAGATTTAAGTAGCTAATGCCAAAAAAATATGTTAATGCAATATAAAAAAGTAAAGAAATTAAAACTATGGGAATAAGCTTTAAAGTATTGTACAAACCAAGAAAATAAAGTTTAAACTATTAAATATAATTTTTTTTTCCAATTACTTTAATTCATCACATCCAGAAAGACTAAATTCCTCTTCCCCTCCATTAGTATATGCAGGTCAATTATCCAGATAGGAAAAAAAATCTCATTTTTTATGGTTTTGATAACTCATAATTTCTCAAATTAATATACCTATTGAGAACTAACAGTTTCCTGTTAACATAGTATAAGGAATAAACAGGGTTTCTTTGATATGTACAAGCTATGCTTCAGATTCTATTTTCTTAAATCTAGAAGCTGCAATAACAAAAAACGAGAGGAAGGAACAAGAGGTACCAGCAGAGAAAAAGAGAGAGAGAGTGATAAACATATTGAACGTTAGGACCAGTTGCACAAATCATGCTGAAGAAATGTGTTCCTTAAAATTGAAGAAATTCATGGAGAAAAATTTGTCTGTGAGCACCAGCTTTTCTAGTGTATTTAGAATGTTTGAACACAGTTATACGCCTCAAGAGTATATTACCAAGAATTAGGTTGATATAACAAGAGAAAGCAAAAAAAGACTTAAAAGTCATTTCTCACCATATTCAAACAAATTATTAAACTATACACCTCTCTCTCTCTCTCTCTCTCTCTCTCTCTCTCTCTCTCTCACGCGCACACACACACACACACACACACACACATTTGATACTTGGCCATCCCACTTGTAAAACCACCCTCTTGCTTGCTTAATTATACTCAAGTCTGCCTGCTTGATTGCACTCACATTCAAAGCAATTTTGTTCATTTGATGAAAAATGAATTTTAATTTTTCTGTATTGTTTAGTTAAAACAGTCTTCTATGTAAACTGCTCCTCATTAATCCCTAATACTTCTCTTTTAATAAACAGTATCAAACATTCTTAATTTTTTCCTGTATGTACTTTGGTATCACCAGTTTTAATAACAATTTAATTTAATTAGCCTTTAAAAAATTATCACTGTTCCAGGTCACAAGTGTGTAATTTGTGTCACTGGGAAAATGAATCTTCAGTACTATGAAACTTTTATAGAGTTAGATTATCATAAACTAGAGGCCTGTTGCACGAAAAGATTCGTGTAATAGGCTTTCCCTTCCCCTGGCTGCCGGCACCGGTTTTCCTCCGGCACCCGGGACCCAGGCCTTCGCTCCGGCCGGAGCCGCCTTCAAGCCTTTGCTGCCCCACCCAACTGCCCCGGGTCAGGTCACACACGGGATGCCCAGATGGCAGCCAGGCAGGCCAGCTGATCGCTGCTGCCCTGCCCGGCCGCCCCGGGCCGGGTCGCACACGGGATGCCCGCTGCCCCGGGGCACAGATAGCAGGCCTGGATGGCAGCAGGGCAGGCGGGATGGTGCTGTCCCACCCTGCCTGCAGTATGCAAATTAGCCGCCATCTTTGTTGGTGGTTAATTTGCATATCATGCTGATTAGCCAATGGGGGGAGCGGAGTGAAGGTACGGTCAATTACCATGTTTGTCTATTATTAGATAGGATGGCTCTTGGTATCCATACTTGTTAAATATCTCTGGGACACTAACATAACCTTGAATCCTATTTCTGTTTAACAACCATATATTTTTCTTTAATGAATTCATTAAAATTGAAAACAAAGGCCCAGAGCAAAAAAATATACAATTCATGAAAATGAAGACTTCCATATGCTCTAACAGGCTTATCTCCTCTAAGCATTGGTTAGTTAAAAATGAGCATTTTAAGATTCTCCTAAAAAGAAAATTAACATTTCAGTTATATATTGTTTTATGAAATCTCATATTTGCATAATGTTAAATAATATACACAGATATTTAGAATGATTTGTCTTTACAATAATCAACTGGTGTATAGGAATTTAATTTAAACAGAGCTAACACTAAAAATTTCATTGAAACTTTCTTTTTTCTTGGCTTATTTGCCACTGTTTTATCCTAATTTTCTTGCCAACCTTGCTGTTTTATTTACTACATCAGCCTCATATTAGGTACATATTCCTTAAATGTACATATTCCTTAAAGTCTGATATTCATTTCTTTTTTTTCTCTTTACAAGATTGTTTTCGCCATGTCTCAGGATTTAGCTAATTACTGACAGATATTTGCTCCAGTGCTAACATTTTCCTGAGAGTTAGTTTCTAATTTCAGACTGTCAAATTCAACTTCTCCGCAGCCTATTCATATTCATTTGCAATGAGGTAACAAAGATGTCCTGGTGTGGCCCCAATCCTGTCAGTACAACAGTCAGTGCAGGCAGCTGTGAAAGTTCATGACAATCATAGGAACATCATATTGAGTAAGAAAAAAACAAAAACATAGCCTGACTATAATACCATGAGAATGAGCAGACATAGGCACTTGTTAGGTATGATGACTATGTGGATATAAAGTGGTTAAATCCTTGTAATAGAGAAACAATTTGACTGCTGTAATAATGAATATGTAAAATAATAGAGCAAATCAGCAAAATCTTAGAGAATTATATTCAGACTAGAGGCCCAGTGCACAAAAATTTGTGCACTCAGGGGGTCCCCCCCAGCCCCGGCCTGTGCCTTTCGCAATCTGGGGACCTCGGGAGGATAACGACCCTGCTGGCTAAGGCCTGCTCCTGGTGGCAGAGGGCAGGCCCCATCCCTAGGTGCCAGCCCTGGTCGGGCTCAGAAAAGGGCTGATTGGGGAAGTGGGCGCCGCCCCCTGTCATGCACAAAGCAGGGCGGATCGGGAGATTGCGATGCCACCCTCAGTCACGCTCAGGGTACAGCCGATTGGGGGGTTGGGGCACCGCACCCTGTCACACTCAAGGCAGGGTCGATGGAAAGTTGCGGCGCCATCCCCCTGTCACGCACAGAGCAGGGCCATCAGGGGGGTTGGGGCTTCCGTACCCTGCAGGGCCAATCAGGGGGTTTGGGCGCTGCCCCCTGTCATGCACAGAGCAGGGCCAATCAGGGGGTTGGGGCACTGCCCCCTGTCACTCACAGAGCAGGGCCAATCAGGGGGTTGGGGCTCCATACCCTGCAGGGCCAATCAGGGGGTTGGGGCACTGCCCCCTGTCATGCACAGAGCAGGGCCCATCAGGGGGGTTGGGGCTCCGTACCCTGTCACGCACAGAGCAGGGCCAATCAGTGGGTTGGGGAGCTCCCCCCTGTCATGCACAGAGCAGGGCCCATCAGGGGGTTGAGGAGCTCCCCCCTGTCACACACACAGCAGGGCGGATCAGGGGGTTGGCGCCGCCACTGTCACACTCAGGCAGGGCCGATGGGGAGGTTATGGCTCTACCCCGTCACACACAA